TATTTATCTTGGGAACATTTTGTTTTCTTCCCCCAATTTGTTCTTCATTTTCCCTTTCTCTCCAAATTTGTTGATTGCAGCTGCTAGGACAGGAGCTTCTGTTGTCTCCTTTCAGCCCTCCTCCCAATATTCCCTGCCCCCCCTGGGATGGTGACCTCATGGACAACCTGCTCAAGCAACTTCTCCCCATCCACCAAGTTGCTGTTTAATACTGCAGAACCCTTTTTAAGTTTTGAACATTGCTGGTCACCTGGGATGAATTATTAATTTCTGTTACAGGTTCTCTTACAAGGCTGCAGGAGTGTGGAATTAGACTGCTGGGATGGTGATGATGGAATGCCTATCATTTATCATGGGCATACACTCACAACTAAGATCTCTTTTAAGGTATACTGATCTTTTTTATACAGAAAATGAAAGAACAAAATTAATATTTTTCCTTTATATGAGGATACTAGCTTGATTAAACAATAATTGTCCTTCAGAACAATACAAGTTACTAATGGATTGCTAATTTACACTACACTTGATACTATAGTTGAATCATGAAATCAAAACTCCCGTGACTGGTCATAATCAAATAAAGAGGATTTTGTGTTTTTCACATTTGAGAACTGTGCCTAATTTTTTAACATTTATACTACAATATTCCACATTTTTATTTTAACTGTAACTACCAGTATCTGTATTAGTTTTGTCATAACAGGACATTAAGGGCTGAGTGGAAAGCTAGGGACTCCTGCTGCTTAAACTGTGGAAACTAAAGCTATTTTCTTCCTGTGGGTGGACTGGGAAAATATATTCCTGTTCAGCTATTCATGATCATTTCTTTATGGACATAATTACAAGCTACTTATGTTGTAGAAGAACTGAACCGTGTGTCCTTATTAAAATCTTTTGGTCTTGTAGGAAGTAGTTGAAGCTATTGATCGCAATGCCTTTATCACCTCTGACATGCCAATCATCATATCTATAGAAAACCACTGTTCATTACCTCAGCAACGCAAAATGGCTGAAATTTTCAAGGTAGGCCATAAACTGAACTGAATTATTCCAAGCACATAGAATGGACTTTTTTTTCATGATATCTCACATATTCTCAATATTTCAGAATGTATTTGGAGACAAGCTGGTAACTAAATTTTTATTTGAGAGTGACTTCTCTGATGACCCTATGCTCCCATCACCTGACCAACTGAGAAGAAAAGTTCTACTTAAAAACAAAAAACTCAAAGCCCATCAAACTCCAGTGGATATATTAAAGCAAAAGGTAAAATTCTTAACACATTTTGATATATAGATGGCTATTTGATGGGGGAAAAGCACTAATGAACTGTCACTTTAATGTGCAATCTAATGTGCTTTAACAACTGGAAGACTTTTGGTATATTGCCAAAGTCTGCAAATTAGGAAATGGATGCAATGAAAAGATATAGGTATAGCATCATAGAATAGTATGGCATTTTGGTTGCATGATACTTTCAGTATTCTAGATAACACAACATGATATTTTTGATAAAAGTAAATGGGGTCATACAGCAAGTCCAGGACACCATCAATAAATTTTGACTGGGAAACGCAAAGAGACCTTCAGGGTTTTGTGCATTTTTTCATTTGGTAAACTTCTATTTTTTTACTGTATTCCGATCAGGTATATTCCTACTAAACAGTTATTTTCATTTGGCTAGACTGTGGAAGACTGTAACCTATTTTTATTATATGACATTTCCAATATAGGCAGATACATCTGTTTAAAAAGCTGTATGTATTTAGTAGTTTAAAGGTCTGTTTCCTTCATGAAATGGTCTCTATCTTTTTTAATAGTTGCATTGAATGAAATGCTTTTCCAGAAATGGAGTTTATATCCCAGCTGTATCCACAAATAAGATGTGATACAGGCAACAGCAGCTCAAACTTCCTCAAGATTATAGTTTCTTTTATTTTACTAAACCGATCTTCAGCCTGTCATTTTTTTCCATGACTATAATAACTCTGTTACTAAAGGCTTGGTATTATCATTCAACATGGAGTTAAATTGATTATTTAATGGAAAATGGAATTCCACTAAATTTCATTTGTGGATTGAATTCACTTCCCCCTCTCTTATCACTTGGGGTTAATGTAAATTATGTGGCTAGGTAGGTGGGTGTGAGCAATGCCTTTGCTAGAATATACATGCTGATCTGTCTTCCGCTCCATATGACAGTGTGCAAGATACTCAGCAGTTTCATTCAGTAAAACATCATTACCAGTAAATACACTGTTTTGAGATGTAGGAGGAGTTTAGTTTCCCTGGAACTTCAGGGATTGTCTAAACAAAGTTACAGCAGTTGTAATTATCCCTATATCAAGAGAGCCATACCACTACAACTTCCAGTGTGGAAAATGACTTATCCTAAACTGTGAAAAAGACACTGTTACACCAGAATAGGAATGTCAACAAGGGAAATTATACCTGTATAACAATAGTGGTGTAAATTCATACATTACATTAAACCTGTTATACTAGTATAATTTTTACTATGGTATTTTAAGTAAGTTT